CTGGCCTACACCAAGTGCCACATGGTGAATAGCAGTGTGTAGTTAAGTCTAAAATGAATAACACAGAGAAAAGTATGCGAGAGAATGTGGACTCACATGTCTCTCTCATTGGTACCTGCTGAGCCGACCACCAGAAAGCACAGAAGTGGGCATCCTGATGGTGTGCCAAGAATAACAGCCTGTATTTACAGGAAAGTGCATTCTATACCCAGATTATCGCTGAAATTTCTACGCAAATTCCATCTCAGTCTTCCCATAGAGACTATTCTACCGATGGGGAAACTGAGCCCAGATGGAAAGTACCTTCATTTAAAACACTCAGCTTTAGCATGAAAGAAGGAGTGCACGAGAATGCAAGCCAGAGACGCACACGGCTACTTGTGGACACATGCACACGCATGTGTTTTAGTGGGTTCCCCAATTTACATGCGCACTGAGCACCAAGCAGGAAGGACATGACAATCTGCTGTGCCGACAAGCTTTGGAACTCCTGTCCCACCACATAAAACGACTTATTAAATTACCGCCACTGCCCTTGTCTAGTTCCTCACTCAACATCAGCAGCACATCAGACAGCTGCTCCCTTCTCTGCTGGGGCCCTTTGCCTGTGCCCTCGCTCTCTCTGGCTCTCTCATCTGTCCATCTTACTTAACAGCTTGCCCAAAACCGCTCCTCCCACCGCTGACTGTGAAGAATTCTCTAGAACTCTGAAAAGGCAAGACCACTTCTTTACAAAGTGAGCATTCATTACCCCAGAAGGTACAGAAGCAAAGAAATCCACAACGGCTCCAGAAGGTTCTAGATACCATGAATGAGTGAAATAGCAGAAAGCACTGAACTTGGACAGGAACCTTTGTGCCAAGTGTCCTCGTGGATGTCCTGGGTGCTTGTCACATCTAAAGGAGTGTCAGCTCCGCTCAGGGTTCATGCCGAGCACACATGTCAACAATGAAAACAGGATTTGGCTCTCGGAATCAGTTGCTCTGGTCCTCTGAGTATATGTTCAAGCGTCAACAAAATTTTGATATTGGCACATTAAGAGTGGAGGCAACTGATGGATTGGACCAACCATGAGACCTAATACAGCAAGTAGGCCACAGGTAGGACCAGTGACAGAACAGACACCTATACAACTTTGAAGTTTAGAGCAGAGACACCAGTCAGAGGACAATAACAACAACCAGAATCTGGGGGTTAGGGGGAAATCTCTATGAGTTTCCCCCAACCTTGTTCCAGTGACACAAAAAGAAAACTTTCCTGAGTCCCCAAACTGTTAGCAGCCTCCTGGGATCGGAGGTAATAAGTCACACCAGCTCAGGAGCAATGTCACTGGCGTCTACCACTTATGATAGCCAGGACAAGCAACTGGAATTCTCTGAGACACACTAGCCTCACTTTTGAAATGGAAATAATAATTACAACAGCCACAGGGTGACATCATAAAAGTAAAGGGACATTCCTTATGAAGGGCTGCAAACAGTGTCTGGCATGTGAGTTCTCTGGAAACGGGAACTGTTGACGTGGAACTTTTCAGGTGGCTAGGACCATGGGAACCCCTTCCAGGCCATGGTGAATGCTAACAGCCACCTGGATGCTGTGCACACCAACAGCCTTCGCTTGGCCACACTCCAGCTTCAAGGTCAAGCCCGCGTTCTACCTGGAGGGTCCTGCTCAGTCCTTGCGTGGCTGAGATTCTTGCAGGAGCTTTCTTTCCCCTAGTGAGCCTTTTTGCTTTAGGCAGTTTGGAGCATCACACCCAGGCCTCCTGCATGCTAGGAATGTGTTCTAGCACTGAGCCACACCCTTCGTAGCTTGAAACAATTATTTAGAGATGACTTCTGACTGTGGTATGTATCACCAAGAGGCAAGGGCCAAAGAGTAGGCAGAGCTGTCTGTGTGGTTACTTCTGGGACCACTGGGATGGTAGGCTGAGCCACTGAACCAGAAACATAGAAAAGAAGGAGAAACAGACCACTAGAAGGGCCAAATACAGGAGCCAAAACTCAACTGGTCATTTAGGATGAAAAAAGAACCCCGTGAGACTCGCTACAGCTGTGTGACTCTGTGAGGCAGGAAAGGTACTGGTCACACAGAAAACCAAGTATCCACTGAAGATGCCAGACACCACTGACACACAGCTACTGAGGCAGGCACACCTCATATGTTTTGCTTTTCAGCTGGAGCCCGGGACACATAGCTTATCCCAGTGTCGCCTGTGTAACAGCCAAGCAAAGAAACAGACACTAAACTCCATCAGCTTTCTTGAATTTAGTCAGAGACAACACCTCCCCCCCCAGACGTTGGGATTGTAAATATACTCATTCTTTTTTTGTTTGTTTGTTTTTGTTTTTTGAGACAGGTTTTCTCTGCAGCTTTGGAGCCTGTCCTGGAACTAGTTCTTATTGCCCAGGCTGGCCTCGAACTCACAGAGATCCAACTACCTCTGCCTCCCAAGTGCTGGGATTAAAGGTGTGCGCCACCACCACCTGGCTGATTATACATGTTCTTAAAACAACCTTAAAAGAGATCCTGGAAAGAAGAGGGATGTTTGGCAAAGGAGACCACTAAGGACAGGAAAGGGTGTGTGTCCTCAGAACAGGCTGGATAGACACACTGCTTTAGAAAACTGTTTGATTGTCGGGATAATACAAACATGCTAATGTAGGACACTTTTTAAAACCTGTGTTTGTGTGTGCATGTTCATGCTCATGTGAGTACAGTGCTTCCGTGTGTGGAAGTCTGAGGGCAACCTTGGGTGCTGGGTCTTGCCCTCTTCGAGACAGGGTCTCTGATTATTTGCCACTGAAGATGCCAGACTTGCTGGCCTGGAAGCTCGCGGGGATTCTTTGCCTCCTGTCTCACTGTAGAGCTCTGGAATCTCAGGCACACACTACCAAATACTGCTTCCCCCAGATTCGGGGAATCTGAACTCAGGACTTCAGGCTCGTGTGACAAGCATTTTACTCACTAAGTTATTACCCCAGCCCCAAACTCTATTTTAGAAAATGTGCTGGCCCACCTGTTAAGAAAATAATCTTCAGTTTGGTGGTAGTGGCACTGGGGAGGCAGTATCGCCTGTGTGTGTGATGAGCCCTCCATGTCTTCTCATGGGCCATACTCACAATTTTATCCTTCTAAACATGCATTAGTAGGTTGATGCAGGAGGAGAGTAATTTCAAGATTATCCTGGGCTATCTAGCAAGTTTGAGGCTAGCCTGGAATACCCTCTATCAAGAAAACATATTTTCTAAAGAAAGGTGTGATCAGTATTGTTTGAAAACGGCTACCAGTGAGGCACTGAGAGCGAAAAGCCACCTGAAGGTCACTGTCATATCTACTGCAGGCGTCTATAAGATGCACTTTGAATACTAGCATTTTTTAAAAGCATAAATTTCTTGAGCTATTTCTTGCCTTTACAGAAAGGAGGGGCTTACCTACAAATCACTGAGCAATGGCATTTACAAGCATGTTTTGGCTTCACTCTTAGAGGCAGATGGGGACAGAAACCCTAAGGCCCTGGAAGAAAAGTGGGCAGGCCTAGGGAAGGGGCTAGAAGATACTAGCCCTGGAAGACTTGAAACTACAACCAATAACCATGCGGTGAAGCCCAGTATCACTGTCTGTTCCAAAAACAAAACAAAACAGTATTGCCAGGGGCTTTGTGCTCATCAATAATCCTGGTATTCCGCAGGTGGAGGCAGAGGATCAGGAGTTCATGGTTAGCCTAGGCTATGTAGTAGTTCATAGGCTAGCCTCAATTATGTGAGCAATGTCTCAGGAAGAGAAAGAGAGAAAGAGAGAATTTATAAGTATGGTCCCTGTCTCAGAGAGAGAGGGAGAGAAGGAGTAAGAGAGAATTTATAAGTATGGTCTGTTGGATATAACCCTCAGTCACTGGAGTAAGAGGTTCTGTTTCCCTGTGGTCGGGGTGGAGAAGAACACAGACACACTGAGGATTTACGGTAGCACAGCCTGAATACACATTACCAAAAACTTGTCTATCATAAATTGGGTTTATGTTTGCTTTTTCCTATACACAGGGTCTCATGCAATTCAGGCTGGCCTAGAACTCCCTATGTAGCCATAGTGCCTTTGAGCTCCTGACCCTGCCCCCTCTAGCTCTAGATTGACGGGCTCACAGCCATTTGCTCAGAGATTCACGCGCGTCAGTAAGCACCCTGCCAACTAATTGTCATCCCTAGCCACAAACCGGTTTCTCACTTACTGTAAAGTAGCCCAACAGATCAATCAGATCAAGCCATGAGTGTTGTGGTCCTCAGAAATTAAGAGACTCCATCAAAGTCACATAGTTTGAGCGACAGACCTGAAGTAAACCTGAGTCCCCAGCTCCCCGTATAATACACTTTTCCTTACGCTAAACTGCCTTTCCCGGGTGGCCATGAGGGCCACAGCAGTTTTGACAGCGGGAACGCTGTTGCTGTTTAGATGTGATCATCGGAAATTCTGTCAACGTGACACAGATTAACACAGCTGTCAAAAGGAGACAGTGGCCGGGGAATTCGCAGTGGGGAACCTCGAGAAGAGGCCAGAAGGAAAAGGAGGCAAGCCACTAGCATGGCAGACCGCCTCTGAGACCACACAGGCTGCGGTGTCCTTGTGTGAGACACCGCAGGACACAAGGTGACGGTCCTCAGGAGAAGAATGGGGTGAGGGAAACAGAAAACGGGGGCAGGTGCTCTGCTGAGAGCGGGGGTCCCACCTCTGCAGCTGCACCAGCTGCCTCTTCCCGAAGCACCTGCAGAAGGGCAAGGCGCCTGGGACTCGTGTAGAACCACATGGATGCCTTCAGAAAGGAACGCCGAGTGGGGCTTCCACACACAGCCTTTAAGAAAAGTGTGTGGGGAGGGAACCACTTCCTCTCCCCATTGCAAAAAAAAAAAAAAATCAATTCTTGCTAATGAATAGTCAATATCCCAATGTCTGCAAGCATTCTTTGCTTTGATTTATTTCACCATCCCCCTTCTCTTTCTCCCTTGTAGCTCTCGCCTCAGTGGCCGTCTCTCATCCCCCTGAGCCATCTTCACCATCAAGTTCAGGAGCAGCAGTGATAACTTGATGTCAACAGCGGATAAGAGCGTTTGCAACCTATGCTGTGGGGTAGAGACAGAGAAGATTCAGCCATGATGGCCTTCACTCGGACTAGACGCACTTTTTGAGACCAGGCTTCTCTCCATAGCCCCGGCTGTCCTGGAACTCACTATGTAGACTAGGCTGGCCTTGAACTCAAGAGATCTGCCAGCCTCTGCCTCCCGAGGGCTGAGATTAAAGGTGTGCGCCACCACCGCCTGGCCCTGCTCTACAGCTTTTAATTGCCCTGTATAGACATGCATGCCTCAGAAGTATGAAGCTTAAGAACGGCAAAGAAGGGGCTGGAGAGGGGGGTTCCGTCGCTATCAGAACTTGTTCTTCTAAAGGAGCGGTTCGATTCCTAGCACCCACATAGCAGCTCACAGCCATCCAAAACTCAAATCCAAAGGGATCCGATGCCCTCTTCCGACTTCCACGGGCACCATGCATGCACTTGGTACACAGACATACATACAAGCAACACAATCACACATAAAACAAAATGAATACACAAATAAACAAACAAACAGAAAGGGAGGCCCGAGAAAGGGAGAGACACTTCCTTACCGGCTCTCCCGTTAGAATGGAGCTGAGCAAGAGAGACGTGGGCGGAGTGGATGAAGAACGCCCTTCAGCATGCAATGACAGCAGATCCCATACTTCACTATCACACAAACCTGGCCCCTCCGAAGACTAGGAAAGGAAGCAAGAAAGCAACGTCCAGGCAACGACAGTTCTTGCAGCTGCACAGGCAAGAGGGAGAAAAACACCTCTTGTAACTTCCTCTGGCCTCGCCTGAGAACTCTGGAGTTTGGGAGGCTATTAGAAAAAGGTTAAATGTGAGAGCAGGTAATGGGATACCAAGGGGCCCGTGTCAGGGTTGTTTGAACAGTACTTGGAAGCAATTGCTATTGAGAGCTGGTGACCACTTTAAAGGGCACTGGGAGAAAGCAGAGTCTGCAAGAAAAGCCTCCTCAGGGCCCTGGGAGCAAGCAGCTGGAGCCTTCCAGCACTGTACAAACATCCCCGGAAACATCGGCTCTCCGCTCCTTCGTCCAAGATGACTGGGTACGCACACGTTCAGCATATTTTCCTGTGTTGTTCTTGGCATCCGTTCAGTTCTGGAAGTATGTGGCTGTACAGACATAACTGCACATCCCCCTGTCTTCCGTTGTAAACTTGGGAGGTCTGGGGTCTGTGTCTTTAACTTCTTGTTGAATTTATTCAGATTGAAGCTGCCCACCAGTTGCTTAACATTGTATCAGTGAGATCCGTTCAAAGTGTGAGTACTGACTGTCAGAAACACACTGCCGGGTCGGGCACGGTAGCTTACGCCTATAATTCATCGCTCAGGGTACTGGGGTAGGGGGATCTGGAACTGAAGGCCAGGCTGAGCTACAAAAACGACCCTGTCTCAAAAATACTAAAATCTGTATAATTTAACTGATAAGAACAGAAACTACACTTGATCTTAGCCAAAAGGCCAAGAAGCGATGAAATTTGTATAATTTAAAAATTAGTAAGATAAACTTTTCCCGACCCTTAAATTCATTTTCTTATCAAAGTGATAGCTCTGCCCAAAGGAACTTGTGCTGTCAATCATAGGGTAATGAACATGGACCACTAAACTATCATTTTGGCTTAATGCATGATCGTGACATGCTATATAATTACCCAGTCCCCAGAAGATTCTTATAATTAAATCACGGGGCATTTTGTGAATGTTTTGGACAACAATTAGAGGACCACAAAGTGAATGGGATTGTGATGTTTGCCAGTTACAATGCAAAGAAGGACCCCTAAAATTCAATTAGAAGAGTCCTTTAGTTATTACATAATTATAATACAAATTTCATTAAGACACAAGGGTGTTTTTTTATACATATAATTGAACTGTCCTCAGAATCCCCAAAGAATATATTTCTTAATAGTTTGCAAAAAACCACATGGTTACATTTCCAGATTCGGATTTCTTCCTCCCAGACTGGAGCAGCTAAACCATATAGGCAGGGCATGGAGTTCCAGTGTTGTTGGGCGACTTGCTTATTTGGTCACTTGGAAAGTGAGCAGGGTTTTGCTATATTTGTCTCCCAAATGTGCTGCATAGCTAGAATATCTGCTAGCATTCTGAAAATATAAAATGACTGCAAGGATATTTACAAACTTACGGGTGGGCAAGACGGTGGGGAAACGCATTTGCCACTAAGCCTGACAACACGAGTTCGATTCCCAAAATACACACAGTGGCTGCAAAGGAAGCAACTCCTGAAAGTTGTCCTCTGACCTCTCTATGCACCCCATGGCATGTACACACACACACACACACACACACACACACACACACACTAAAAAGATACTAAGAAATTCCAAGGAAAGAAGAATAGTTCATCTATAGACAATGTTACCCCTTATTAAGTCCCCAGAGATTTTACAGGTCAGTGTTCAAATAAAAATCTCGGATTAGTCATTAGTAGGACAGTATATATAATTAGGAAACAGCAGCACTGGCCTTGCAATGACATCTGTTTAGGAGAAAAAGAAATTCATTTAACCCAACAACATCATAACCCAATCAACCTTTGTGGGTGTTCGACACCAAATGATTTCACAGGAGCTAGGGAGATGGCTTAGTGGGTAAAGCCCTTGCCCCAAGTCTGAGGACCCAAGTTCAAGTCTCCAGTGCCCATGTAAACGCCCAGTGAGTGTGGCAACCCACTTGGAATCCTAGCACTCTGGAGGTGGAGACAGCTGATCCCTGAAGCAAGCTGATTGGCTAGACTATAGTATCAGCAATCCTGCCTCAAGATAGAAAGGAGAGAGCAACAGAAGAAGACATCCAACACTCACCTCTGCTCTACACACACACACACACGCACACGCGCGCACATACACACACACACACACACACACACACACACGGGCATGAGTACACACACATGAAAAGGAAAACGGTTCCACAGAGCCCAAGACTATGGTGGCATTTGGTGCTCCTCAGCCAGTGTGTGTGCCTTCCATTTCCTCCTTTCAGTTCCTGGAATAAAAATATTCTCTCTCACGGAGCACAATAGCATAATAGCATGGGCTACAGCCTCTCCTCCTGGAGTGTGAGCCTCCCTGGGTGTCGCCGTCTGCTGTGTTTGAGAGAACCTCTCCCAGGACCATGTGTCCTTTTGGCGACCATTTCCACACTTTGGGGGCAAAGAAAAGGAGCCAGAATGGGTGGCTCTAACTGAGAGAGACCAAAGCCATCCAGGACTCAGGATGACGGAAACTCTGGCCTTGTGAACAAGTCAGTGGGTTGGCAGAGGAGACCTCTCCAGAAGAGAGTGGAGTTAATTAGCCTCTTTATGCACACACACACACACACACACATGCTGGCTTCACACATTCAAAAAATAGACCCAGGCTAAGCATAGGGCCTGTTTTAGCCCGTTGTGTAAAAACTAGATAGACAGGGGCTCACTCTCCTTTTTCTGTAGCAGGAGCCCTGCCTCTAGCATTCTTATCAGTCTTAGTGAGGCTTTAGGAATGAAGAGGCAATGTGAAAAGAGCCCTGCAAATTGTTAAAAGCACAAATCACTTTCACTTTCTCAAGTACTGAATATCTAGGAAACCATACTTTTATTAATTAATCAGCATGCATGCAAAAAAAAAATAATAAATGTTCTCTCTTTGACGTGGCCACTATGCAGAAAGGTCCCGCTGTCGACTTGTGGAACAAATGGTTTGATGAGTGACTGAAGTCAGGAGCAGTGAATGATCACCAAACGTGAGCTCCTGGGCCTGGCCCCAGACGGCTGCAGTACAGCAAGCTTGGCCCAGGGCCAAGAGCACGCCTGCCGGGGAAACAGGAAGTCACTGAGAGCTACCACAGACCCGCGGCTGAGAGAGTTCCCCAAACAAAAGCCAGCCACTGATTTCCACAACTGGCCTTCCATGACACCATATGGTCAGCAATGCTGTCTTACCACAACACAGAGGCCCGTCTTCGGGGTCCCGTGTGCCGCAGAGCGGCTGAGCCCGTAGCTGTCCTGTGATTATTTTCATTATTTTATGACTTTTCTTGGAATTCACTTCAGTGTAACCCAGCTGAGGGCACGGGGAGGAAAACGCTATCTCCCGCCCCTCCTGACTCAGCCCTAATGAATCGCCTTTTCTTATATCAGAGAGCAAGGGGCGCCAAACCACTGCGCATTCATTCCCGGGGCATGGGGGGCGGGGGTGAGTGGCAGCGGCTTTCTGTGGGGACAGACGGAAAAACTGGACACTTAAAGTTTCTCCCTCTGATCTCTGTTGACACTGGATTTAATTTATAGGGAAATCCAAACCTTTTGGCTCTTCCCTTTCTTCTCTGGGAGTACCCACTTCAAAGAATTCTCTAGTCACTGTGTGGAGGGCCTGCTGCTGAGCTGCCATGGGCAAAGACGGATCGACTGGACCGTAAACACGGCAAGCATTTTCTTCCTCAGCGATTCACCGAAAAAGCCCCTCCTCTCCGTCTTCTGAGTAATAAGGCATACTCTCTGAGAATATTCTAGCTAGACCCCCTCCATCTCTGCCGCACGTGTCATGACGAACACCACTGTGGATTAAGGGCTGATTTGGTTCTTCAAGGATGGAAAAACTAGAGGCAGTGGAAACCTATTGACTTTCGGCCTTGAGAGATCTCCCCTCCCTTCCCCACCTCTCTCAGATGTTTTCTTTTTTCTTTTATCTGTGAATGCTCTGCCTGGATGTATGTATAGACACCAAGCGCATGCAGCGTCCATGGAAGCCAGAACACAGCATCAGAGTCACTAGAAACGAAGTTACAGACGATTGTGAGCTACCATGTGGGTGCTGGGATTCGAACTCCGGAAAAGCAGCCAGTGTTCTTAACTCTTGGCCATTTCTCCAACACTCACCACCCATTTGATGTTTTGTCTTATTTTGTTTGGGAGACAGGGTCTCCTATATCCCAGGATGGACAGGAACTCAGCAAATAGGCAATGATAATCCAGAACTTCTGGCTTTCCTGTCCCTACTTCCCAGATGTCAATAACCGGCATAGTGTCTCACTGCTCAGGATCAAACCAGAGCTTCCTACAGGTTAAGCAGGTACTCTGCCAACTGAGCTATAAGCCCAGACCCCAATCTCTTACTTGCTCCCAAGTTTTCGCATTAATCCAGGAATTAGAAAGTTAAGTAGACAACAGTAGGGTAAGCCACCCCACCCTGAATCTCCTGTACAGGCGCTGACACTATTTACCCTGTAAGGAAGCCCAGGCTAGGAGGGACAGGAGGAAGCCAAGTGAACATTCACTGCTTCATTTTCTAGAGGGTCACTTCCCCGCCTAGATGGGCCGCCAAAGCGAAAGGAAAACCATTCTTTAAAGTCAGGTGGCTGTTAGATTGCTTCCTCAAGAATAACGAGTGACTTTGAGAAGTCAAAGGGCACAGTGCGCAGCCTCGGGATTTCCACCCCAGCTGCTGCACCGACTGCTATTTCTCCTCTCGTACCGAGTGCTCTGAATTCCTCCGCTGAAAGGTCCCATTTTGAAAATTAAAAGGGCGCAATTGCTAAACTATCTGAAAAGTGTCTGACTTGACAAAGGAAATCACAGACACTATTGCTCCGTTTTGTCACCTGGGCTGTGACTCTTGCCAAGGGAGACTCTCTGGTGTGACTCGCTCTCCCCAAGCGTCCTCTAGCTGCTTTCTCTAAAACCCTCATTTCTGTAAGTCTGTCAGAGGTAATTATCTCTCTCCTCAAATTTATTGCTCTTCGGTGTATCATAAACACATAGATTACACAAAGTTGATGAAAACAAGTGACGCATGCGTGGCCCCACGGAAGGAAAGACGGTCATAAATAATTACCCCAAGTATCCACTATCTCTGCTAATAGAGTAATGAAGTAGCTGTGAACACCACGGGCAGCCAATCCCCTTTCCTGTCCTTTTATGGCGGCTCCCACACCCAAGAGCCAGTCCCAGAAGCTCCTGCAGGAGTAGAGACAAGGAACTTCCTCAGATGTGCAATCTTTTGACACTCCAGAGGACAGGCAAGTGTGCAAGCCTATCAAAGCGGGTATCACAAACAACCTGAGTCCCAGAGGAGGGGGTCAAAGACAGACTTCTGAAAAGCACATACTGTCATTAAGCTGTTGCTACATATTCTGGAATTGTTCCCATTCCAATCTTAGTCACAAATTTAAAAGTTACTAAAAGCCCTGAGTGATCCC